GTTTATCATGTTGTAGTGATCCCTGCTACCATACAATTTTTGTTGCTAACCCATAACTGTAATCTTGCTACTTTCTTGAATTATAAGGATCTGTGTTTTCTGATGGTCTGAGGAGATCTCTGTGAAAGGGCCAGGGTGTCAAGTGACCCACTGTTTGAGAGCTATGAGCATCAACTATAATTTGAGCTCTTCATATACTGTTCATTTTTATATGCTATTCCTTTATTATGCACTTGACTCCTTCTGGTCTTCTATGTAACTCCATGATATAATTTTTTACATATGAAAACATTTCTGAGGGCATAACCAAAAATAGATACTAGATTTAACAAATAAAATAAGTGTAGGTTTCCATATTAAAGTGTTGGCTAGAAAAATTAAGACAATTTTAGCTCAAATTACAAGCAATTTTAATATAGTTGTATTCTGTAGAATGTCTGAGATATACTTCTAATTGTTCCTTTGAACTTCAAGTGTAATAAACTATAGTATGTTTGATCCTGAAGGTTTATCTTCTATTCACCTTCTGCCAAGAATTAAGGAGTCACTATGAATCCTGCACATCCTATACTCCAAACTGCATTCATGCAAACATAAATATGGAAGACCAACATTTCCTTAAGAGACCAGTAAGAAATGAAAAGGTTAATGCAAGGAACAGAGCAGATGCAGATGGATTAGGAATTAGGCTGGAACTGGCTTGATCCAGGCACTTTACCAGAACAGCTCAGTGGGTGCCAGTGAAAATGTCATAGTTACTAGCAGATTCTTTGGAGTCACACAACTTTCGGATCAAGATCTTATTCTGTTTCACACAGAATTTGTAACCCTGGACCTTTAACCTTAGAAAGATTTGTAATCTTTCTAAAGATTAGGTATTTCGTTATGTAAAATGAAGATAATAATAATAATGGTGGCTTCAGACAACTTGGTTGATGTGTTTTATCTGATTTATCATGTGGCCAGAATATTCTGTTAGGAATAGTAGTTTTAATCCTAATATTTCTTGCACAGCTAAATGTCATTTCTTTCCTGGGACAATCCAAGTGAGTGGGATGGGAAGGGGTGGGAGAGAAAGGAGGGGAGAGAAGAATTAGCCTGTTGGGAGCCGACTCCTAGCAGAAAGCAGCTATCATCTTTGCAGCCATCTCGAGCCATATACCCTGACAAGAGATTTGTTTTCAACAGCCCACAACAGTTGAGCACACTCTGATAAACATCATGTTTTTCTCCAATATCTTGTTTTGTTGTTTAGTACCCCTAGCTGCAAGGTGCACATGGTAAAGTGTCTTCAGCTGTGTTCCTCTGCTTGTGCTTATATATACCTAGGATTTCCTTTCAATAAAAAGAGACTTGAACAGACTCTGTCTTGTCTCCATTCTTCTCTTCTGTTGCCCTTCCATCCCCACTCTCTCTCTCTTGCTAGATCCACAGACCGGAACAGCAGCTTGGGCCTGAACCATAGCCCATCATTCATTTTGTTTTAGTGTGTACAAGGTATTGTTCTACCTGATCACATATATTTTCCAGTTGATTCTGTAGACAATCCAAAGAAATATAATTACTTTCTGGACACTGGAAACATATTTGCACATATATTTTCCAGACATTGGCACAGAGAAATTGGGGAATATTTTATCACTCATAGAAGCTAAAGCATACTTCTTGCATTTCCATACATCCAAACCAAGTTGGAGACATGATCTAGAAAAAAAAAAAAACCTCTGCTTTCTTTTACCAGCTTGTGTAAAACCCTTCTTCATTTTCTTCTTATCTAAATGAAGCTCATTTGATTGTGCCTGTGACAAGGCACAGATGATTAACTGCTATTAGCCAGGCATGCATGAAAGACTACTTACAGTATATCAGACATTTCATCATTGTTATTTAATGTACTATGGAGATATAGGACAGAAAGTATCATGTCCTGCTTTTACAGATAAAGCAGCTGAAGCTCAAAGTGATACCAGTCACTGTCACACAGATACTGGTTGACAGAACTACTTGCAGCATTCAGGTTAGGATTCTCCTCTCAAAAATATTCATTATTTTATTCAATACATATTCATTGGTTCCCTTCTACATGCAGACATAGAAGAATCTATACTTAGAGCAGTGCCATTTTCTTGCTATCCAACCAATGAAAGCAGTTCACTCAAAGTTTTACCAGCTCTGTCTCATTGATCTCCCCAAAAGACAGAAGAATTCTGCCACAATTATACTGTCTACAGTTTTTGCTTCCTTGTAGTGTATTCTTTAAAAAACACCCTTTTGGGTTGTTCTTATATATGATTTTTTTTTTCAGCAAACTCAGCCACATGCCAGATTCCATGACATAGTTCATAGAGATACTGGGATATTTTCTGCCAGTGATCCATAATATAAGCTCAGTGTTCTATCATAAGCAGTGTAGAAAATGCCATGAGGCTGGCTTAATGAAGGCTTCCTGATGGTAGAGACTGTTGCAGAGCAAACTTTATGGAGGATGAATGTAGTGTCTTTGAGAATAATATATCTAAAGCCCTTGTATATTTTTACTTTTGTTTGACAATTTTTAGATAGATAATTTAGACATTAGATATGTGATATAGATAGATAGATAGATAGATAGATAGATAGATAGATAGATAGATAATCACAGGATGTACAAAGAAAGACCAATTAAAGTCATTAACTCTTGGGTAATGAAATTAAAGTTTTTAAGGGCAGTAAAAGAAGAAAGAAGGTCCACATGGAGTAAGGTACAATGAATATCATAGTAATTACACAGAATAATTGCTCCAAGGGAAAGGAGATGAGGATGTTACTCCAGCAACAAGAAAGAGTATAAACAGAGACAAAGAAATATAATCTGAGAGAGCATGCTCACCTGTGAATGGGAAGTCAGCTCCAAGCATGGAAAGAGAATCCAGTGTACAAATGGGTGCATAGAACACATTGTTAATATGATGTTTTACTTGATGCTTAATAATTTACATAATATCTATTGATTGTCACTTGCATTGAAACTTTACCTCAAAGATGGATTTCACTGTTGTAGAAAAGTACAGATTAGAAAAAAATTCCCTATGTGAAAAACCTTTATTTTATCCAGTGTATATTCTTGGTGACTTTGTAAAAAAAAAAAAAAAAAAGTTTGATAGTCACGGAAGTTTATGCTTATTTCTGGGTTTTCTATCGTTGGTCTATATGTCTATTTTTGTGGCAGTAAGAGGCTTAGTTTATTAGCTCTGACGTATAATTTCAAGTCAGATATTGTGATATTTCTTGCAATATTCATTCAGCATAAGAGAAGCTATTTATAACTGATAGATGGTGGGAAATGGAAAATCAGTTTTCAATGGAGTGACAGTAGGTATATCAAACACACGCTGAGACAAGCCTCCTTGCCCAGGAGCAGTCAGCCAACAAAAACTGGACATTATGTTTATTTTGTTTGCTTGCTAGTTTCTATCTATTCAAGAAAGAGAAAGAACATAAAGTTGGATGTGTAGGGAAGTGGGGGGATCTGGAGTGGTGGAATCATATGTTTAAAGTATATCATATGAAATTCTTATAGAAAAAAAGAAAACTATTACTAAAAAATAAACAATAAGTATGTTTTGTCTATGCACGGTATTTTCTGTTCCCCAACAAATGTTTTCAGTTTTATTTAGTTATGTGAGGAGACCATTGGCATTTTGAAGAAAATTGCATTTTATCTATAGAATCTGTTTAACAAATGGTATTGATAAAAACATATATCTATGAACTTAGATCCACATCTCTCACCCTGTGCAGAATAGAGAAAAGCAATTAAAATGAATCAAGTGCATGAATTGAAAACTAAAGATGCTGATGCTTTCAGCAGAAAACATAGGAAATGCACTCCAGGTTGTAGGTAAAGGCAAGGACTTTCTGAAGCAGACTTCAATAGTATAGGAAATATCCCTACATATCAGCATGTGAGATTACATGAGATTAAAATGTTTCTGCACAGTTAGGAAACTACTATCAACACAAACAGACAGCCTACACAATGGTAGATACATTTATCAGCTAGACCTCAGAGATAAAAGTGATATCCAGAATATATAAAGAATGGCAAAAATTAAACACATAAACCACAAAACTGTCAATTAAAGATGGGCTAATGAAAAGATAGATCTGAGTAGATGAAACACAAATACCAATGAATATGTATTTTAAACATTCAACATCCCCAACCATAACGCAAATGAAAATATAAACTACAATGGTATTCTACCTCATCACAATTCATTTGACTATGACCAGGACAACAATGACAACAATGACTGACAAGGTTATGGAGAAAGAGGCATCCTTATCCATTGTTGGTGGGAGTGCAAACTAATGCAACCAATATGTACATTCTCCTCAACAAAATGAGAAGTAGAGCTATCATACAGCTTAGCTATACTCTTCTTGGGCATATACTCAAAGGACTGTATGAGCTATCTAGAAAATGAAAATATGGCATATATATATATATATGCTTTTTTTTAACATGCTAAGAAAAGGAAATTATAAAGTCTCTGGAGTGTGTAAAAGCTGGAGAATATTATAGTAATAAGATGTCCTAGTTTAAGAAAGATAAAATCACATGTTCTGTTACATATGCAAATCCTAATTTTAATGTTTACATTAATGTAAATGAGGAGTTATGAGAGTGCTGTCAACTATGGAACTTGATAGACAGCCCTGAGAGGGGAGCAAGAAAAGCAATGAGAAAGTGGAAGTAAAGGCAAAAGGTCACTTGTGATAGGAAAATCAATGGGAACCTGTTAGGAGTAGAACAAGAGAAAATGGAGAAGAGGGAGAAAAAAAAGCAAAAAATGAAACTCAATTGCTTTGGTTTTGAAAGACAGGGCAGAGCTCATTGGTAGAGATGTCAGAGCAAGCCGTGTAGATGTCTTGTGCAACTGCCTACATTTCACAGCAGATGATGTCATCACAACTGTCCTATAAATTGAGCAAAGCTTCAGGTGCACCTAGGCAACTTATCTGCACCAATACCCAAGACAACAGGAATGGCTGTCTCAGTTCTTCGCCTGATGGTAATCCTAGGACTGAGTGCCCTAATCTTGACATGCCATGCAGGTAAGTGTTTCTGATCATAGCCCAGAAACTTGGCCATAGTTTGTTGTGATGGGTGGAAGCTGGTATGGATCCAGAATACTAAAGGGGAGGGGCATTTTGGCACCACAGAAAGAGCACTGGGCTGGGCCTTTGTAAATGCAGCTAATACAGAAAGCAGTTTTATTAAGCTCAATTTTTGTTGTATCCTCCATTCTCAGTAAATGATATTTGAAAAGAGTCCTTTCTTGTATTCTTAAATGATAATGTGACACTATTTCATTATATTGCATTCCTTGAGAAATTTCTGTGGGGTGTTTTGATTATTATAACTAATAATCTTCAATGTTGATGAAGATCATTAATGAGAAATGTAAATTAAGGCATGATATTTAATACCTGTAGATGTCAAATAAATAAGGGAACATTAATTGTTGACAGTCTTATAAATTTGTCATGCAAATAAAAGAGACAGTTTAGAATAGCACCTGGTTAATAATAATCAGCAAAGAATATTAAACACTATTGTTATCATGTATAATAATTTCTTTTAAGTTTGAGGACAGATTCATTAGCTTAAAAAAAAACACCCAGGTAGTTTGTATATCTCAGCAGCTTTTTGGCCATGGAAAAATCAGTAGTGCTATGTGAATTACCAGTATAGATATCAGACATGTGACAGACAGACACATGGCAGGGAGAGGTCTTAAAGAAATACGAAGAAGGCCCATAGTATCAGAAAAATCTAAAGTGATACAGGAAGGTACATGATTAGTGTGGAGACAGAAGAAGATGAAAAGTTACACTTTCTGAGTAGTTCAGACAATATAGCAGACTCACCAAGCTGCCTGGCTGCAACCTATTAAGCTACTATGTTGGGGATGGGAATTCTGGGAGGGAAAGGTACATTATCTCATTAAGGTGATAATTATTAAGCCTATCTCTTTGGCATGGCTTAAGGTGAGCTCACCTTCCTTCTTTGTGAGGGATGGTACCTTTGCCAGGTGATTAATTTGACAGAAGTGGAATATTAGATCTTCACCCTGCCAGATTATCTATTCTCTTCACCAAAAGGTGTCTTACATTCATGGGCCTTTATTGCTTTATTACTACTCTCCATTAACCTTAAAATCATTTAGGGACCATATCAGGCTTCAGAGAAACCTCTCCCCCAAAACACCTCTGGAATCATTGGTCTCTGGCAAAGACAAGGTTTCCAAGTGATCCAAATACATTTCTTACTTTTAGTGGAGAAAGAACTGAGTATGCCTAGTTGCTCAGTTTACTTTACCCTAAGCTGCTTAGCCAATCTTTACCTTGTTCTCATTCTTACTCTTCATAAGACGTAAGTTTAAATAATTTATTTTTCTTTAGGCAACATTTCAATGTTTTGAATTTATTTTATTTTCGTTTTTTTTCATTCTTCCTCTTTTTTATTGGATATTTTTTTATTTACATTTCAGATGTTTTCCCCTTTCTAGATCTCCCCTTCTGAAACCCCCTATCTCAACCCTCCCTGTTGCTGCCCCTGTGAGGATGCTCACCCACTCACTCCCCTACACTGGGGCATCAAACCTACATAGGGCCTCTCCTTCCACTGATGTCCAACAAGGCCATCCTCTGACGCATATGCGGCTGGAGCCATGGATCCCTTTATGTGTACTCTTTGGTTGGTGATCCAGTCCCTTGGAGTTCAGGCCGTTTTGGCCTGTTAACATTGTAGCTTTTTTCATGGGGCTGCAAACCCCCTCAGCTCCTTCAGTCCCTTCTCCAACTCCTCCATCGAGGACCCTGCGCTCAGTCTAATGGTTGGCTGTGAGCATCCACCTCTGCATTTTTCAGGCTCTGGCAGAGCCTCTCAAGAGACAGATTATCAGGCTCCAGTCAGCAAGCACTTCCCAGCATCCACAGTAGCTTCTGGGTTTGGTGACTGTATATGGGATGGATCTCCAGGTAGGGCAGTTCTTTCAGTCTCTTTCCTTCATTCTCTTCCATACTTTGTCTCCATATTTCCTCCTGTGGGTATTTTTGTTTCACTTCTAAGTCTAAATCCTTTTATGGAAGTCTGCTAATTACCAATGTGGCTTCTTATAATAAAAGAGTATGTTGAGGATGGAAGTTGGGGTACCAATTCAGTAGGTCTATCCTAAAGATCCTAAACAGGCATTGATAATTTCATAAAGCTATGTTTAGGGAGGAAACGACATCTTTAACTATATCCTTGAAATAGATGTGAAAGAAAAGTAAAGACAAAATATTGCCATTACAAGCTCTAGACAAATAATCAGAGAAAGCCAAAAGAAAGGATGCTTTAAAAATATCAAAATCAAAGTCCAGTGGGAAATCTTGATGGCCCACAAGAGCATGCATACATTAGTCTTGGTTTGGGTGTTTTGTTTTTTGTTTTTTGGGGTTTGGTTGGGTTTTTTTGTTTGTTCGTTTGTTTGTTTTTGGTTTTATTTTGTTTGTTTTGTTTTTGTTTTTTTGTTTTTAAGTTTTTCTTTTGGCCTACAAATTGGTCTCAAGAGGGATGAACTCGGGATACACTTTTCAGGTGCTTCAGCAGCTGTTGGAATGGATAGACACACAGTGTGAGATCCTGCCCAGATGGCTTATAGAAGAGGAGAGACAAAGAAGAAATTTTCTATTACATGATTTTTCAATTGAACACAACACTAGTCCCATCTCTCTTGGCTGCAAGTAGAAAGTACGGTGCCAAATTGAACCAGTACCCTGATGTTCTTCATCTTGGGTAGCAGTTGGGTTTCTTTGTTTTGTTTTGTTTTGTTTTGTTTTGTTTTTGTTTTTGTTTTTGATTTTGATTTTTAACCAAGAAGAAAAGCATCACTGAGAAATGGCTGTCTAAGCAACATTTTATTTACACTTGAGTTTAACATCACTGAATATGAGTCCTTGGATAATTAACCAACATGCATCTTAGTCTTCGACTGTACTTTCCTGTCAGGTGTTAAAGACCATGACAGTTCCCCAAATTAATCATTTTCATTTTTGTAATCAAGGCCAGTTGTGGTTCTAATCCTCAGTTGTCTCTTTAGATCCAGAGGCAGTCTGGTCCCGGATCCTTTGGCCTTCTTTGTACCATTTGTCTCATCTTCTCCAAAAATATAAACAGCCTTGCTTGACCATGGTTTCACTTAGAGGCACTAGGAAGGTTTTGCTTCTGTGTTGATCCTCCTGATTGTAGACTGAACAGTGGTTACATCACATTCAGTTTTGTTTTCATGGCCTCCCTGAGCAACAGGACAAGTGACTCTTCAGAGCTACATGACATGTCCAGAGATATCCTCTGGGAACTAGTTGACCTGGGAGGGCAAGTAGCAAAGTATTGTCGCTTTATATTTTTCTGTCTACATTATTATAGGCCTCCACATTAAGTGGTTGAACACTCAGAAGTTCAGTTACACCAACTTGATATTTTTAACTACTATTTAATGTTTAAATAAAACTTAACCCAAAACATAAAACTTATTTAAACTTTCATTAGACATGTATGATTTTTCTTTTAAGGCAGTATTTGTAGCTAATACCATAAAACAGACTAATAAGAGAATACCATTGATTTAAATAAAGTTAGATATCAAGGTACTGAAATTTGACCTGTGTGTGCGTGTGTATTTTAATTCTTATCTTTTTCATACTCTATATAATTTACCCAGACCTCCATAACTTCCATAATCATTCTGGGTTTTTTTCCCATTCTGAAATCATGCATAATCTTAATAGGCTCTCATAATAATCATAATAAATAAACCCCCCATTTTCTCATTGTCCTTGGTTGGTATAAATTAGTAAACTAAGCTTGCAGAGGGCACAAGTAAAAGTTTCTCTAATTGTAAAGTCTAAGTTTCTAGGTTCTTCCCACTGCAACTAAGCACATGTTTCTTTTGTGTCCCAGGAGGCACACAGAGGACTGAGAGTGCATGTAGAATTCTCATTTAGCAATTCAACTTTTTGTCTGCAGAAGACTGTGAATTCTTGACTTGTCTTTCTTCAGAGTATTCCAGAAAGCAAGGTGTGTAACCACTTAGCAACAGGCCCCTTCACATGTAAGTTAGCAGAACTCACAGCTCCAGATCATCAATATGAAACCCAGATGAAAAATGGAAAAGAATTATGGCAGAGGGGATGTCTGTGTGGACTCTGCTTCTAAAGTTATCAACAGAGTGATGGGATGGTTGAGATTTACATTCTAAAGACAATTCTCAGTTTACCTCATAACCTCTGAAACTAACTAAATAAGTACAGTTTTAAGTGTTAATTTCCTTGCCTGTAAAAGAACACAATTAGGGGCTAGAGAGATGGCTTAAAGGCTAAGAGCACTGTTTGCTCTGTCAGAGGTCCTGAGTTCAGTCCCCAGTGTGATCTAGATCTGATACCTTCTTCTAGCATGTAAGTATACATGCTTATATACATAATATAAATAAATTATATACATAATTTAAATAAATACATAAATCTTTTTTAATTAACATAACTATTGATGTTACCACATAAAATGAGATTTTATAATCATTTTGTAAAATGTAGAATTCTATATATTTCTTGTACCTGCTCAGAATTGTATAAACACATTCAGAAAGTTAGCTGAATACTTAATGTAAATAATCCTACTTTTTATTATGTTTTAAAAGAGAAAATATTTAATTATAGACCTTATGAGTTGAGATTCTTGGTATTACAGTAGCATTTTAAATTTTCATAATATTCCAAAATGTTAAAGGAAAATGATGTTATTTGTTGATGTCATAAGTAATAATACTAATAATACCATAGATAAATTGCTGTTAACTTATTACAGGTTTGATTCTGTGATAGATGGCATATACACCATGGTTATATATCTCTATATACATAAACAC